CTTGGAGCCACGTGCTGATTGCTGCCAACCAAAGCACTTCTGGAAGGACAATTACGGGAACTGATTCGAAACTTGGCAACCAGGTCCTGGCTTGGATAGCCCAGGCAAGCCCCATCTCATCAGATCTCGAAAGAAAAGCAGGGCTGACCCTGGCAAGTACTTAGAGGAGAGACCTCTGGAGAATACCAGGGCCGGGAGGCCAGAGGCAGGCGATCCAGCCACTTCTCTTAATGTCCTCCGGGCCCCAATAGGAGTCACCAGAGGTCGCCATGACTTCCAGGCACGGGCACACACACACACATATGCACGTGGGTGCACACACAATGCAAAATACAAGAAAAACTTGGCCACCCTAATGTGTGTGTATGTGTGATTACCACGAGGGCTTCCTAAAACTCAACATTTAATTCAGGGAGAAGACTACCGGTCCCTGATAGCCCTCCCTAAGCAGGCAGCCTGGGTGTGGCGGGGGAGCCGGCTTTGCACGTGGCCTGGCCAGCTGCAGCGGGATTAAGCCCGGAATAGACAGTTGGCTCAAGGATTATCGGGAGGGCGGATCAGAGAAACAAAAGGAAGTACTGGGGAATGCGTAAATCTGTGGCGTGGCCCCTCGGTCCCTCTCAGTCACTGGGCCTCCCCCTCTTCCAGACCCACAGTTTCTCAGGGGCACTGCAGTTTCTGCTGTGTTGGTGTTTATGAAGATGTTTGCCATAGCAAAGCCTGGCACTATATCTACCTGGGAGCCAAGGACCCATGGGGAAGGAACGGGATCTGGAGATCAGTGGGATAGGGTTGTGTGAGTGACCAGGGTTGCCAACTCTGGCCTGGGAAATTCCAGGAGATTTGGGTAGTACCTGTGGAGGGGGGGGACTTGCTTCAGACCAACAGAGCTACCCACCTGAATCAGTTTTCACAGCAGTTCAGAATGTAACTCCTATACATACATTCCAACATTTCACAGATGAAAACCAGAATGTGTCTATAATTGGAACACATCTTACACCGAGGATTACTCCTGAGCCACACCCTTCTTTGCATGTCACCCAAGGCTCTTTTTCAGCAGCAGAACTCTCTGTTCCTGGACCCTACAATCATCACTCCTGCACCGAAGCAGAAATTGTTAGTAAACAGTCCAGACGGTGAATTGTGTTTGAAAATATCCTAAGTACTTAATCCACCCTTTAGTCTTATAATAGATCGGTTGGTACTTATTAGACAAGGCCTTTAAAACTAGTACATTCTGCAACATTTGCTGTCAGAATGGGCAGCTTTAGGGCGGACTGCATCCTTCTGGGCGACATTCTTTGTAGTCATGTAGGCATCTCAAAGACAGATTGTGGCCTCTGAGACTACACAATATGTTTCTCTAGGGCCTGTCCCTTGTTCCAGTTGACTGATGTAGTCTGGGAGTAGGATTGACAGCCAGTGGCTGGCACCCAGCAGTTGATGAGGGGACAGTAACATGGGGGGAACTGTTGCATTGACGGTGTGATGTCATTTCCAGTGTGAACCCAGAAGTGATGTCCCGCCACTCTGGGATTCAGCAGAAACTCTATGGTTTTACCACATACCATACTAGCAGGGGCCCTGGCAACCCTGAGAGTTCTGTGCTCAGAACTTAATGCGCAGGAGCTCAGGCCCCCAATTTGGATCAGGGCTTCAGTGCACAGGGAGAAGGGAGTAAGGCTTCTACCCATGCCATTTTCCGGACCTGAAACTGCCCTGGAGAACCACGATTTTCCCTGCCGGAAAAAACTTAATTGTACTGATGGAAAATAAGGAGTGTGCCTAGTTAATCCCAGGGATGCTACCAGATTTTGCAGCCCTGTTCTTTGTTCTTGATCACCCCTGTTTTTTTCTCCCCTGTTCAGATTGAACCTATGAATTGAACCAGGTGGATCCCAATCCCTTTTCTATGTTCTTAGATCTCTGCCCCATAGATTACTAGCTGGTGGAGGCAGGAGAGGACAAGGTGGGGCAAGTGATGCATTGTATTCTTGGTGCTTGGGGGGGGGTCAACAGTGGGAGAGCCTCTAGTGTCCTGGCCCCACTGGTGGACCTCGAGGACTGAGCCAAGGCCGAGCCGGAGCATGCTGCGCGACAGAAGGGCCCGACCGATCCGCCACTGAAAGACCGCCAGAAAGGAGCCAGAAGCCGAGTGATGCTGAAGTCGACGTAGCTGACCTGGGAGAAAAACCCCTCCACTGGGTGCCAGACAGTAGGGATTGTCCCCACCCCCAATAATTGTGGCCATAGGTTAGGGATAAATGAGTAACTGATTTTGCAGCCCTGTTCTTTGTTCTTGATGACCCCTGTTTTTTTCTCCCTTGCTCAGATTGAACCTATGAATTGAACCAGGTGGATCCCAATCCCTTTTCTATGTTCTTAGATCTCTGCCCCATAGATTACTAGCTGGTGGAGGCAGGAGAGGACAAGGTGGGGCAAGTGATGCTCTGTCATCTTGGTGCTTGGAGGGGGGTCAACAGTGGGAGGGCTTCTAATATCCTGGCCCCACTGGCAGGAGAGGACAAGGTGGGGCAAGTGATGCATTGTATTCTTGGTGCTTGGGGGGGGGTCAACAGTGGGAGAGCCTCTAGTGTCCTGGCCCCACTGGTGGACCTCCTGATGGCACCTGGTATTTTTGGCCACTGTGTGACAGTGTTGGACTGGATGGGCCTTTGGCTTGATCCAACATTGGCGTCTCTTATGTTCTTATGACAAGGTGAGTGAGAGCCACATACCTGCGTACCCTCGGTACATGATTCCATTCCTCGTCCCTGAGGCTTCACTGCCTACAGCCAGTTCTCTTCCCCTATAAAAAAGGCTTGATGTCCAGGTTCAAAGTCCAAAGCAGAGACGGCTGCTTCTGACGAACTGTGACTTCCGAGCAGGCAGCGGCACTCTCTATTCCCTTCTCTCATGGGGGCCACACGCTGGGGGATCTGCTCTGCCGGGAAGATCAGCCACGATTTCCTAGTGGTCCTGAAGACTCTGCCACCTGAGGATCATAAGGTATTGTTGTTGTTGTTATCTGATAGGGTAGCCAGATCCAGGTTGGGAAACTCTTGGAGATTTGGGGATGGAGCCTGGGGAGGACAGGGACCTCAGTGGGGTACAAGGCCACAGAGTCCACCCTCCAAAGCATCCATCTTCTCCAGGGGAACTGACCTCTGTAGTTTGGAGACGAGCTGCAATTCTGGGGGATCCCCAGGTCCCACCTGGAGGCTGGCCTCCCTATCAACAAAATTTATATCCCACCTTTCTGCCCTCACAACAGTCATCAAGGAAGCTAAAAATATAAAACACACAAGATAAAATCACATTTTAAAGCCATTAAAATCACACATATACCCCGAACACACATCATTAAAACAAATGAGAATGGCTAAAATATGAACCAAGACATAAAACAGCTGAGGGGATGCCAAATGAAACAAAAAAAGGCTTCACCCTCTGGCGGAAGACGGCAACAGAAGGTCACAGACGAATCTACCTGGGGAGACAGTTCCAGAGCTTTGGTGCCATGCAGGGATCATTTCGTAGAAAAAGAAGTGCAGGAGCTCATTAGCATAACTCATTAGCACAACTCATTTGCATATGCCACACCCCCTGACATCACCGAAAGTGTGTCAGAAGGCAACACCCACTGCTCTGGCTCCACTGGACTGCTTTGGATTGCTAGCTATTGGGGGGGGGGGAACGTGCAGATCTGCCCTCCTAGAGGAGGGAGAGCTTGTACCTGAAAAAAACTTGGTCTTACAGGTGCCACTGGACTGTTTTGGATCGGGTGGGGCCAGGGGGAGCTCTGCAACTTACCTGGCTGCTTCTTGCTCTGACTGAGGGCTGCTGGGAGCAGGGGGTGGGGCTTGCTGCATATGCCCGCCCCCTGGGCTCTATACTGCCGGAGCTCCGCTCCTGTGCGCTCCTGCAGGAAATGACCCCTGC